CAGAACAAGGGGCCCTACCTCAGGTGCATGCTACAGAGCAGCCAGCTGCAGGCGGAGTTGGGGGAGACCCGACACTGGCAAGCCCCAGCGCCCAGCGAGTGGGGGGGGGCAGGGCAAACCGAGGCTCCATCCAGAAGCCAAGAGCCGGTTTGGGACCCAGTAACCGGTTCAGAGTTAGAAACTGAGCGACCAGCAGGGAACCCTGAAATGAGTTGCGGACATGTCAGTGGACAGGGTGTCCCCAAGAGCTTGCCAGGATGCAGATGACCAGGCCTTACCTCCCAGGGACTCTGAGTATGCCAATCTAGGTGAGCTGTAAAATTCTATGTTGTTAGCCGGGCCCAACAATTCTTTGTAGGAGTGTCCTGGGCCACCACAGATTGATAAGCAGTGGGGGGGAAAAATCCAGAAAGACAAAACCAAACATTATGTATTCTTATAGCTCTTTGTCATTGAGCATATCTTTAAGAGTTTAAAAATGTATCCCCTGGGGGCAGCAGATTAATTTGACAAGAACACCCAGTTCTCCAATGAGATCTGAGTCCTGGGGCCCAGAGTAGAGTGGGGTTCAGTCCCTACTGTACTCTTGGTTTGCCCGCCTTGAGGAATCTGAGACAGAGGGTCTGATTGCCCCTAAGCGTCCCCTTAGTCACTGACAGTGGCCCACACAGGAGCCTGGGAATCTGGTGGGAAAGCTGATTTGTAAGAAGGATCCCAGAGGTGAGGCTCATGTTCTAGAAACAGTGTAGAGCTGTGGTGGCCTCTCTTCTGCTCATTGGTCGCATGACCAGTCGTAACCTCCCCGAAGCCCTCACCATCCCCTGCGGCTCAAGCCAGAAATCAGAGCTGTGTTGTTACGTGTCACTGAGCCATGCATGATCAAAGCCAGACCAGCACCTCATCACTTGTCAGGGACTTTGGTAAACACTGGTGGCCTCCAATGACCACAGGAGGTGACCACTCTCTCTCCCCCCACGGCCTTACTGTTTGGGAGGAATGTTCCAATGAAAGCGACTCCAAGATTGCATTCTCCCACGCACAAACATAATTAGCAGATACGCACAAACCACAGCTGCCCCTCCCAGTTTGGAGATGTCCCTGCTGTCCGTCTTTTGGCATTTTACTGTGAGCCTTGCCAGAAAGTTCTGTCCAGACACATAAGGCTTGATTCAGGCATGCCAGAAACACTAAAAGGACAGCCGGAGTCCAGCAGGCTTAGATGACTACTCACACACAACTATGTGCAAACGAGGCCAAGCTACTGATACAGCAGCGGCGCTTCATTCCTCTTTAATAATACTGGAATCAAGTTGCTCGGGGACTCGTAACTCAAGCCATTTGGGCTGCTGTCCGGAGTACAAAGGCTAAATGGCAAGCGTGTACTGTTCCCAGTTCTAGAGGCTGGGAACGTAAGATTGGGTCTTAGGACTTAGTAGCTGAAGATTCATACCTTCCTGGCTGGCAGATAGGCGCCCTACTCCACCCTTACATGGCAAAGGGAAGGAGGAGCTCTCTGGTGGGCCTTTAGTTTCCTTGATGAGCTATTTTAATCGTTGTCATGGCAAGAAGCAACCTAAGGGGTGGCTCTGTGGTTAAGGGTGCTTCCTGGCCTTTTAGAGGACTGGAGTTTGGTTCCCTCCACAGGTTCACGACCGCCTGTAACTCCAGATCCGGGGGATCGGATGACCTCTTCTGGCCTCTATGGGAACCTACCTACACACACCCACACCATGAATAAATATATATTTTAATGAAGCAACTTAAAAGAGGAAGAATTTATTTTGGCTAACAGAGGGAGGGGACATAGTCCGCCGCGGCAGGAAGGTATAATGGTGGACAATGGACTGTGTGGTGGCTTGTTCATATCTTAGCAGACCGCAAAGCAGAGAGACCTTGATCTGGAACCACAGCTGGGCTGGAACTCATGGGTTCCACCCACAACCACCCACTTGCTCCAGCAGGGTCCTGCCTCCCTAAGTCTGTCACTTCCTACAACAGCTCCACCTGCCAGCGGCTAACTGCTCAGACACGGGTAGAGGACGTTGTCACACCGTAGCAGACGCTGACTCCGTCGTGATTACTCTTATTACCACTCACCCCTCGAAGGCCTCATTTCCTCACAGCCTACGGTGCGAGCTGGGACTTGACCCTGTGAATCTGGGGCAAACACAAGCATCCGAAGGTCTCTAGCGATGCATTAGATGTGTACTGTCCGGTCTGAAGCATTGCCAAGACAGGTTGGTGCTTGCCTGCTGCAGAAGGCACCGGAACCTTCTGGTAGGAAGGTTTAAATACAGAGCAGTTGAGATGGCTCACTGGGTAAAAAGGCCACACCAACAACCTGATCCCCGAACTCGAGGCAGAAAAAGACAGTGCAGTAGCACACATCTGTAATCCCGGTGCTCCCGTGACACAGTGGGGAGGCTGGTGCTCCCTACAGGAGATGGGGGAGGAGGGATCAGTGGCACATCTGAAATCCTGGTGGGTGCTCCCTACAGGAGATGTGGGAGGGGCATCAGTGGCACATCTGTAATCCCGGTGCTCCCGTGAGACAGCGGGGAGGCTGGTGCTCCCTACAGGAGATGTGGGAGGAGGGATCAGTGGCACATCTATAATCCCAGTGCTCCCGTGACACAGCGGGGAGGTTGGTGCTCCCTACAGGAGATGGGGGAGGAGGGATCAGTGACACATCTGAAATCCTGGTGGGTGCTCCCGTCAGGATATGGCGGGTATGGGGGCAGAGAGAGGAGAATCACTCCAAAGCCTGTGGCCCAGTGCCTTAGTTTTCTTTTGTTGTGATAAAATATCAGAGCCAAAAATGACTCATACAAGACTTTATTTTGGCTTCAAGCCTCTAGAGAGATAAGAGTCTGTTGTGCCAGGGTAGGCATGGCAGCGGGAAGCGGGGAGACCACATCCCAACCAGCCATAGAAAGCAGAGAGAGAGATCTAGAAGCGGGGAGATCACATCCCAGCCAGCCACAGAAAGCAGAGAGAGATCTAGAAGCGGGGAGATCACATCCCAGCCAGCCACAGAAAGCAGAGAGAGAACTAGAAGCGGGGTAAGGCTGTACACTCCAAAAGTCCACCCCAGTGACATACTTTCTCATATGGTCCCCAAACAGCAGTGCCAGCTGGGGACCAAACACTCAAATAGGTGGCCTCTGGGGACATTTCTCATTCAGAGCATCAGAGGCAGCCGGCTTGATGTGTGCCGTGGGACAGAAACGAGAACTTCAGGCCCCAAGCAAGCGGAGGGAAGGAACTGATTCCCAAGCGTTGTCCTCTGACCTTCATGTAAGTGCTGTGGCTCTCTCTGTGTGTCTCTCTGTGTCTGTGTGTCTGTGTGTCTGTCTGTCTGTCTGTCTGTCTCTCTCTCTCTCTCTCTCTCCCTCCCTCCCTCTCTCCTGTTTTTGGATCAGCTATGAGCCCTCAGCTCCAGCAGCTGCTTGCCTGCCTGCTGCCAGGCCCCTCCCCCATGATGGTCATGGACTAACCCTCTGAAACTGTAAGCCCCCAATAAATTCTGCTTTCTATAAGATGCCTTGGTCATGGTGTCTTTTCATTGCAATGTAACCATAACTAAAACAACTCCATGCTTCGCTAATTATCCTTCAAAATGCTATTGGATTGCAGTTTCCACGTCTCTGTATCTTTGCCTATCAAATGACAGTAGAATATTCCCGCTCTTCATTTATAACAACCAAAACTATCTCTAGATATTGCCAAATGTCCCTTGAAGGCAGGGGTGACAGGCAAAGTTGTCTCTAGTCGAGAACCATTGTTATAAAACTGCACTCTTTGGGGGGTCTTCATTTCTAGTTGGTGAACAAAAGCATTACAGACTCTATTTGCCCTGCTTTATTTTCTGTTGATGCTGACCCCAAGGAAGGTCTTACCCCCTCTGAGGAAGGGTGGGAGGTGGGGGAGAGGGGAGGGAGGGGAAACTGGGGTTGGTATGCAAAATAAAAGATTTTTTAAGCAACTTGTAGAGGCAAAGGTTTATTTGTCTAACCCTCCCACATTTTTATTGTCATCAAGAGAAGTCTGGGCAGGAACCTGGGGGCAGGAACGGAAGTGGAGACCGTGGAGAAATCCTGCCTACTAGCTTGCTCTCCAAGGCTCGCTCAGCCAGCCTGCTTTAATATACCACACGCCCAAGGGAGACACCACGCACAGTGGGCTAGACCCTCCCACATCAACCATTAACCAAGAAAAGGCATTTCCTCTTCCCAGGCTGCCCTAGTCTGTGTCACGTTGACAAAACTACCAGCTAGTACCCCACCTTAAAAATCCGGGTTCTGTGAATCTGGTGAGATGGCTCAAGGAACCTGCCATGTACAACTGGTGGCCTGAGTTTAGTCCCCAGAATCCACATAAGGAGAGAGAAGCAACTCCTCAACTGTGGCACGTGCGAACCCTTCCCAAGTCACCCATGTGCACTCATGTGAACACACTCGCACGCACGCGCGCGCGCGCGTACACACTAAAGTCAAATTCTGGTGAGCAACCCATACAGCATTTTTGTAACTTGAAAGTTATTCACATCTAAACCGCTGTGCCTTTTTTTTTTATTACCTAAACAACACGTGCTGGCCATGGACTTAAAATTTAAAAGACAAGTCATCATGAGTTAGGGACTAGATGCACTCCAAGTCCCCAGCCAGTCAAAGGGAGCTGGGCTTTGGATGAAGTCGCCTCTTGGCCTGACATCTTCTCTTTCTACCTTGTTCCAGTAACTTCCTGGTTCATCTCTTCCCAGTGAATCACTCTAAAAGCCTGCATTCAGAGTTAACTTAGAGCAAACATAGACAGAGGCATTTCTTTTTACCCATGAGGCCACGAGAGAAATGTGACCAGTGTGTATCATGCTCATGGGACCAGACCACAAAGCGAACCCAAGAAGATGTGGTTTAATGTTAATCAGAGTGAGTGTTCATGTGACCTGGGTTTCAAACTACCTCCCCGTTTTTTCTGAGCATTCTCTGAGTAAGACCAGGGCTGGAGAGGGGGTAACTGGCAGCTCAGAAAGAGCGGTCCAGAGGAAGGTTCTGGGGTGAGTCAAAAGAACGTAATTATTTGAGCTGTGGACTGAAAATTGTGCCAAGAGGGGGAAAAAAATGCTTGGATCAGTCAGGTGCCTGAGGGGCACAAAGAGAGGGAGCTGGAGACACCCCACACCTGAGCCCAAACTAAGAACCCCAATTAGCACGAAGTAGGCATAGAAACCAGGTCTCCTCACTCCGAGGTCAATGCTCTCTCTTCAGAGGCCGTTTTGTTTTGTCTCCTGTCGGGCTCTGTGGAGTTGCATTCACATTCGTTTACCCCAGTACGTTATATTCAAGACACTGAGAGCCAAGACCTAGAGGTCTTTAGGCCCAGGAACCCAAGGCACACATTTTAGTGACAGACGACTGACTGAGCGTTGTTCTTCCTGTCTCCGTGTTTCTGAGGTGAGTGTGAGCCTCACAGGTGCAGCCTAAGCATTTACAAATGGATGGGCAACTTTAAATGAGCTCTGGACGGTCTGTGTCAGAGCGGCACCGTGAACAGGAACCCGGTCTTGCATTGGCTCCTTGGGCAGAGGTGATTTCTCCCCTAGGGAACCTGGAACTTCTCAGTAAGCAGATCCACTTAATCCTTCAGGAAATGCTGGACCAGAGGATGGCAGCTCGATACGGCTTGGAGGCAAAGAAGACACACGGCTGCTCTCCCCCATGTGATGCTGCTAACACAGCTTCAGAAAGCTCATGTGACCAGGTGAGTACATCCCCAGGACACGTGACAGGGCATGGTGCAGTGAGGAAAAGGGCAAGCTTCAGGTCTTAGGCCCTGAGTCAGACTCTGGGCTGAGACTGAACTCCTTGCCTCTGTCTGCAGGGCAGGCTTCTAACCACACACCTCATGCATCTCACCCACAAACATATGCAAGCATTCCTCTTGGGAAAGAAGGTACAGTGGTGAATTACTATATAATAGGTGGTCTCTCAGAGGACGGTGAAAACAGTGTGGGGTCCCGAGACACTGATTTGGAAGTCAGTGGACGTTTCCTGTCCTAACGGCCTGGATAACTGACTCAGAGGCTGAATATGAATTGTAAATACTCAGCCAATAGCTCAGGCTTGTTACTAGATAACTCTCACACTTCAATTAACCCATCATCCTTAGGTTTGTCACCCCACCTACACATCCTGTCTGGCTAATGGCCAGTCAGTGTTTTATTAAGCCAATTCAAGTGACACATCTTTACAGTGTACAAGAGGATTGTTCCATAGCACAGGACCATGGTTTTTGTTCTCAACTACGCTCATGGAAAAGCAGATAAGAAGTTTAAGTTAGCCGAGCGGTGGTGGCGCACGCCTTTAATCCCAGCACTCGGGAGGCAGAGGCAGGTGGATCTCTGTGAGTTTGAGACCAAGCCTGGTCTACCGAGCGAGTTCCAGGACAGGCTCCAAAACAATACAGAGAAACCCTGTCTCGAAAAAACCAAAGAAGAAGAAGAAGAAGAAGAAGAAGAAGAAGAAGAAGAAGAAGAAGAAGAAGAAGAAGAAGAAGAAGAAGAAGCAGCAGCAGCAGCAGCAGCAGCAGCAGCAGCAGCAGCTGTTAAGGGCCCACCTAGCTGTCATCAGAGACAATGAGTTGCTAAAAGTGCGCATCCAGCACGGAACCAGCACAAAGCAGGTAAACGCGTGTGGCAGCCAGTTTTGGTTGTGGACTTGATTAGATCTGGAATTGGGTAAGACACAGCTTCTGGACACACTGGTGATGACCAGGTTAACTGAAATGGAGAGATCTGCCCTAACCATTGGACAGCATCTTGTCTCGGAAGCCAGACATGAGGCGGTCAGAGGGAAAAGCTTTTATCTCTCTATGTGTTTGGTTTCGCATCTTGTTGGCAAGTTCGTCTTATTTATGGGTTCATTTTCACCATTGCTGCTGCTGCTGTAGTATTCCTTCTCTGAGGGCAGAACCCAGCCTTTCCGGCTTCTAATGAAGACTGGAGATCAGCAACTCTCCTGGGATCCACTAGGCTTTCAGTACTGCTGAGACATCCAGACGAGTGGACTGAGAAGCCATCCAAGCTCCCAGCCTCTCTGGTATGAAGATAGAGGGTGGGGGGCGTCCTTCTTACGCTGTCAATGTGTTTCTCTTACTGGTTGATTAATAAAGCTGTTTGGGCCAATGGCCTGGCAGGATGTAGCCAGGCAGGAAGTATTAGGTGGGGCTACCAGGCTAGGAGAACTCTGGGAGGAGGAACACAGAGAATGAGTCCCAAGCGACACACCATGTAGCTACCAGGAAGATAGGATGCTCAGGCATCCTCTGGTAAGCCAGGACTACAGGAGATACACAGATTAATAGAAATGGATTAATAATTAAGAGAGAGCTAGCCAATAAGAGGCCTGAGCTATTGGCCAAACAGTTTATAATTAATACAAGCCTCTGTGTGTTTATTTGGGACTGAAGAGCTGTGGGACCAGGGGGGACAGAAACTTCATCTACAGTCACTGTTGGACTATCCAGCTCGTATTGTGTAAATCAATCTAATAATTCCTTTTTAGTATATCTTTATTCTATCAGTTCTGTTCCTCTAGAGAACCCTGACTGACTGATACTGAATTCATAACGCGGAATGGATACATGAAAGAGCAAACATAAGCATGGCCGGAATGGGTAAAGATCAGGGAGTTGTGGACTGCACATCATAGACTATCTAGGACCAATAAATGATTGACAGCTAAATCTTGCCCAGCCAGGCTGGGGACTGCTAAGTGCCATTTATTGTCCAGGTCCCCATTTATTTTTCCTATATGTGCAGTGAGAATCTGGAGAAGGTGGGGAAGGGCACAGACTTGATGCATAATCACAGGGCAACAGACAAATCTGTTTCTCACGTCCCTGATGAAGTCAGCTCCTACAAATGCATGCTCTTGCAAGCCTGAAAAACACACAGAACTTTCATCTGAACAATGGTCGTGTCAAAACAGCCACCAAAGAGGCAAGACAATCAGCAAATGTCTAATCTGAAGCCTGTGACGTCAGTATGATAATCCTAGACAAACCCAGCTGACAGACTTGATCATTAGTAGATCTAGGAGAGGGCTTATAGGCTGGGGCCTTGGGGATCTGGGTGAAGACAACTCAGGACTTGAGCCAGGAGGCCAACAAGAACATCTAAGAACACAACACCACCCCAAAGAAGGCGCATGTATCATGGCAGGAATGTCCTCAGGTGGGAGAGAGATTAGACTACATTTTCAGGATTTCTATTGACGTAGAGGTTACAAGAAGATTGCTTTGACGTCAAAGGAACTGTTAAACTAATAGTACATTTTAAGGGACTATTGGGTACCAGGTACCAAGCTGGGTGTTGTACCAATATGACCTAGCCTTCTCCTAGATCTACTAATGATCAAATCTGTCAGCTGGGTTTGTCTAGGAGACACAACTGTCAGGCAAGGCAGCCGGGACTCAGAGAGGCCAGTTTGTGTTCTCAGGATCGGAAGCAGAGGCAGCATTGGAATTCAAGCTGGCCCTGAAGACTGACAGGGCTGTGCTCAAGGCTGCCACTCACCCACCACTGTGCATGTTTTCAGTGCACGGAGACTACATTATCGTCTGCAGGAGGAGACATGACGTATCCTTCGCACCAAGATCTTTCCTTTAACTGAGCCCTGCAGTGGGTTGCACGCACCCCAGAGAGGCACCTCCTCGGCTTCTTCTCTTCAGTGCTGAGGATTGAAACTGTGGCCTTGCACATAGTAGGCAAGTAAGTGTTCTACCACGGAACTATGTTCTCAGTCCCCGTCTCAAATCTAGCTACATCGCTTCTGTGCGTCTGACAGAACGAATTCCAACAGCAGAGGAAGGCGAGAGTCCTTCGACACCAGAAGGAGGCCCTGGGGGTGGAGAATGTCCACCTGCACCCTTATTGTCATCGGTGCCCTTCTCCAACATTCCTCGGTAGCTCCCAGTCTTCTCATTTGTCTGCATCATGTGACCATTACTTTCCTCCATTTTTCTAGATGACCTTCTAGATGACCTACGGCCTTCTCCGTCTCCTTCTGCTCTAGAGGCTGCATTCTCTCTCCACTTTATTTCTTCCAGACACCCTCACCCAATGAGCCTTACTGACCCTTTAAGCCAGAGACCTGTATGTGTTTCTTTAGAGTTTCCTTTGTTGATGAACTGACCCAGACTGAACGTTCCATATCTGGTTTAGGTCCAGGTAGGACTATAGGACCTCCGGGGGACTTTAGTACTAGGGAACTATGGGTGCTGTTAGGTTGCACACAGAGACATTGAGGTAACTCAAGGATCAGCAGGATAGAGTTGCCAGTCCTAGAACCAGGAGACAAAGGGACATGGGGACGTTTCCAGAAAAGGGAAATCATAGCATCTGCTGGTACATCTGAAGAAGCCCTGCAGGGTTGGGGTTGGGGATTGGGGTGGGAGCCACATGTTGCTATGGAGAGCAGGTACTCAGCCATCTAAGAAGGGACACACTCAGGTGCCGTGAGGTTGGCAAGAACAAGAAAAAACAAAAAAGTGGCCCTCTCTCCCCCTGCATTCCTCGTGTCTCCTCTTCGCAGACCCCAACAAAGAGACAGCTATTGTCTCGAAATGGGGTTTGGTCCAGAGTCAAGAGCAGGACAGATGTGCTGTCCTCTACAGCTCATACCGCTGATGCAGAATGCCAACCACAGCCAGGACTGAACTGTTGTCATTATTTAACATTCATCCACCACCACCAGGCGTGGCCAAGCTGCAGGTTCCATGTGTCCCAGATGTACGAATGTGGCCCAGCACATGTGAAGATGACAATGCCGTATGGGGACATCGAATTTGATCACCACCAACTACGTGGAAAGCTACACTGACTGTATGGAAAAGCTGCATTGACTTGCCTTCCTGCTGTCTTCACGCATAACAAACATCTGGAGTTTAGGGAGTCCTCAATAGCCATCCACTAGAATAGATTGACAAGAGAAGCAATATTATTTTATGTATAGAGGGGCAGATGTCTGTGGGAAACTGAAGTGGGTGCCGCTTCGCTGGGAGCTGGAGTTACAAGCAATTGTGGGCCACCAGGTGTGACCACTGGGATATTGAGATAAAAGCTGGGTGTGGCACATCTGTGATCCTAGCACTAGGCAGCCCAGTGACAGGAGGATTCCCAGGGCATGCTGGCTAGCCAGTCTAGGCAAAATAGCAAGCTGCAGGCTCCAAGAGAGAACCTGTCTCAAAAAATAAGGAGTGATAGGAAAACAAAATCCTTATATTAGCACAGAGAGAGAGAGAGAGACAGAGACAGAGACAGAGACAGAGGCAGAAAGAGACACACAGAGAGAGCATACAGTACCAGCAAGGGATGAGCTAAGGACAGAGAATGTCAGTCAAAGCCTTGCCTCAGCCTGGTCCTACAGGGCCCTGGACCATGAACTATCCCCTAGGCCTGCTACCTCCCTGGGGGCCTTTATGAGACACCAGCTGTAGTGGAGGCCTGTCAGGACTCAAGGAATTCATGCAACCTCCCAAGAGAGATGGTTCCCAAAGAAGAGACAGCTGTGGGAATCAGCTGTCAACACTCACAGCACGAGATATGGCACACCCACCTGCTCAGAGGGTTCGGGTGGGGCAAAACACACCCTCACTTCGAGGGGAGCTGTGCCAGACGTTCCCAGGTCTTTCTAGGGTGTTAGGTTTCTGTTCGAGATGGAGTGGATGCCTTTCATCTTGTGGGGATTTTTATCAGACATGACAGGAGCTAAAATGTTAATTGCCCACATCCCTGGGTAGCCTGGGCCTTGGCATGTCTTCTGGAGTCAGGAGCAACCACAGGCATGGCCTCTGCACCCCAGGGGCCCCTGAATGGCAGATTCCATCCCCATATGCTGTCCTCTGTGGAAGAAAGACAGGCCCCTCACTCCTTCCCTAGCCGCCCTGCAGGTGCCCACTCAGTGGTGGCCTGGCAGCCTGCACCAAAGAATGTCACCCTGGCCTGAGGCCCAGCCTTAGACAAAAGCCCTTTTGGAGCTAAGCCTACATCCTCTGGCTGACAGGGCCCCTCCCCCATCACCAACCAGGGAGGGCAGCTAAATTCATCTCCCTCCAACTGATGCTTCCCACTGGGCAAGGCCACCTCCCTACTCAGGAAGCAAAAGGCATCTGAACCCTTGCTGGCTGCCCTTGGCTCTCAGACAAATAGCTGACTGTCCTCACCCAGAACTGCAAAGGATGATCCGACACCATCGCCCCAGATCAGGGCACGGGGACACACACACACACACACACACACACACACACACACACACACAAAGAGGAGAACACTATCTCAAGGTGCGTGCGTGCGTGCATGCGTGTGTGTGTGTGTGTGTGTGTGTGTGTGTCTGTGTGTGTCTGTGTGTGTTTGTGTGTGTCTGTGTGTGCCTGTGTGTACAGGGAGCTGGGAGGAGGGGACCCGAGCTCCAAGAACAAAGGACAAAGCCTGAGCCCCAAGCAAACCTTCACACCTAACCCCGCCTCTGCCTGGGAGTTGGGGTCACACTGCCTTGAGTTTGAATTTCAGCTTTGCAGGTCCTGTTCTGAAGCCCTCACCACTTTTCCGAGAAGAGAATACCACGTGGTTACCTGTTCTGAGAATGAAGAGTGTGATAGGAGGTTCTAGTGTCTTCCAAAGCACTCCCCTCGCATCCATCGCACGACTGAAGTTCCCCAGGCCCTTAAACCTCCAATTTGTAAATGAATGGATTTCGTAAGCTCCTTCGGCCTGTTTCCCTGGAAAACAGTTGCTAGAATTCTTGCTAGGCTTAAAACTGGCTCATCAGAGCCTTCCTCCTAGGTTGCTTCTGTATCTGGCCTCTCCCATAAACATGGCCTTTGTTGTTTGGGATGCTAACAATCACTACAGCTCTTTGTTCGGTGTCTTTTGGCTTTGGCTGGCTGTCCTTGCATGAGGGACTGCCTGTACCGAAGCCAATTTGAATTGATCTTGCAAGTGAAATTTTAAGGGACAATGTGCCAGGTGTCTCAGAGAGCTAGAGTCTGGTGGTCTCTCTGTCATCTGTTCACAAGAGCCCTAACTAATGTTTACATGGTGATAGACTTATTTTCACATTTGGAATCTCATTCCATCTTCACAATGACAATCCGAGTTTGGTATCGATCTGCCCACTTTGCAACTACCTTCCTTCACAAGTAAGAAAAATAAAGAGTCTAAGTGAAGTCTGCAGGGGGTGTCTGCAGCTCTGGCAGTGGGACCTAGGCTTTTGTCTAGGAATTTTTATTTCAACAATTTACTGAGCATCTACTATGTTCAACGATCTCTTTTGGGGATCCATAAGTCAGCTCACAACACTGATCTTCAATAACACCAAAGACACCCACCTGGGGATTTTCCTGATGGTTATGATTCATGAATATTTAAGACTCCAGAAGCATAGCATGACAGGGACACCATTACTCCAGCCCTAATCTGTAAGTGTTCAGCTCTGTGAACGGTGGTCTAGCCATAGTTTATCCCCTAGTTCAAGAACTAGAACCATACTCAAGTCTAATGAAAGCCTGCCTTGAGTGCTAAAAGACAACTTGGAGCAAAGGGAGGGTGGTGAGGCTGGGGGAGGTGTATCTATTATAGGGCACACCATGCTGCGTGGTTTATATGCCTGCCTCTCCAACCGTGAGTGTCCACTGTGCTGTGGACGGGCAACCTCCCTACCCCTACCTGTGACCTTATTTAGAAATATGATCATTGTGAATATAATCCAATTAAATAAAGTCACAGTGAATTACTGTGGAGCCTAAATCCAATAGCTAGTGTCTTTATGGGAGGAAGGAGGCTTGGACACATCGACCTTTGGAAAGAAGATGATGTGACACACAGGAGAACAGTGACACAGATGTCGTGGGTCACCTACAGCAACATGGAAGGGCTTCCCCCTTGGGGCCAGAAGAAATTAATCCTGTTGACTCCTGGGCTCTGACTCCTGGGCTCCTGACTATGAGATAGTCCCCAGGTTGCGATTCCAAGAGGGATTATGTTGGGTTCCTCATGCACTGTCTTAGTAGAAGGCAGAGAACGTTCCCAAGTGTGCTTCTAACTTAATTGTTTGGCAACCTATTTTCGGTCATCTTTCAGACTTTCTGGGCCAAATGTCTCTTGGTCAGTGTTCCCTGAACAGAGAAGTTGTGAGCTGAACCCGGGCATAGACAACAGGGAAGAGAGGGGGAGGGGGGAGGCTGAATACTATCTGTACCCATTCTTCTCTGCTATTCGTTTGTTTTTAAAGCATTACTAACCCTTTGGCTAAAATTCCAATTCTCGTTGCATAAATAACTTGGACTGGCTTTATAAAAATTAGGAAACACAAGAAAGTAAATGAAGTAAGTGAAAGCAGCCCATGGGCCACATCCAGACCCAGACGGCCGCCATTTGTGTTTTGGTGTGTTGAGCGTGTATATACTTTCTCAAAAAAAAAACAAAGGGTCATCTTACTTGTGTCCATGTTTTCTTTTTCTCTCCTTTGAAGAAGACAGATTTTCAGGAACACGACGGATACCCATGCTGCTGTTCCCCTTACTCCACATTTCCGCTTTGTGTTTCTCAGCCCAGGCCAGCGGGCAGCCGAGTCTCCAACCCAGAGTCAGTTCCCTCTCCAGCTGAGCTCATCTGCGAAGGCCTGGCGTGTGACACAAGTGGCAAGGGGTGCAAAGGCATCTTCCAGAAGTTTCTTTACCCTGGTTGATGCTTCCCAGTTGAGTTCATTACACTCCTACCTTCAAGTCACAAGTATCAGACATTAATGCTAAGACCTTGCTCCAGGGTGTTCCTTTATACCCCGAAAGCCCACTTCCTCTCTTCTCCCGGAGTCACACCCTCCCAGCCTGTCTGATTTATAGTATGGAGCACTTCGTCGGATGCTCTTGCTAATCCTCCAATAGCTCTGTTTTTCGTTACCCAGTTCTGGGTCCCAGGGAGCTCACCGTAGGGCATGTGTACATAGAAGTGCAAGCCAGGCCTTCTGCTTGGGTTTGGCATCATCCGGAGATGCAGAGGCGGTAGAAAGAGAAGCCAGAGTGTTGTATCCCTCTTTGGTGGGCCTTAGCCCTCTGAAGAGCAGCTGCAGTCTCCCTTATCTCTTTAGGTGGCTCACCTGTGAATCCAGCTGCCCTCCGGTCCCGGCAGGTAGGTCACATGATTGTCGTAGCTCTCGCTACTTCCTCCCACCACCAAGGGCCCTGCCCAGCCCTGCTCACACCTTTGTTGTTATTCTCCTTTCTAAATTAATTTTTTAGGGGTGCAATCTTATGCTCAGCTTTTCCTTCCTGGGCTATGAGAGATATAGATATCACATGCAGGTATCCTTATAATGTATTGACTGTGCCTGTGTAGGTGTGCTGTGTTTAACAAAGCGGATTATCGCTGGCCTCCATATAAGACCCTATTTCCTGATTATACCCTGACACCCCTTTAATTTGGTCTGCATTGCTACAGGGTAGGAGGGTGGGGGTGGGAGGTCTTGTTTTTGTTGTTGTTGTTTGCCAGAAAGGGTTTCTCTGTGCAACTCTGCCTATCCTAGAGCTCGCTATAGAGACCAGGCTGACCTCAAACTTAGAGATCCACTTGCCTCTGCTTCCTGAGTGCTGATATTAAAGGTGTGCACCACCACATCTTGGCCTAGTGAGATCCAGATATGAGTCTGTGTGTGTGTGTGTGTGTGTGTGTGTGTGTGTGTGTGTGTGTGTATGTGTGTGTGTGTGACTGCCAGGGAAATCAGAGTTTTATAAGCTTTTTAACTCTGTTTTTTTTAATTTTTAGTTTTGGGCCTGAGTTCTGAATTTGTACCCAGGACAGCAATATCATGTTGCTGTCACTGTATACCCCCAGCTCATGTTCCTTAATTCAACAGAATGACCCTAACTTCATAAGACGTGCCTTTAAGCTGTTACAGTTTGAGTTGGAAATGTCCTTCAAATGCTCTTATTCTGAACACCTGGTCCCCGGCCAGGGTGCTATTTGTGGGAAGGTGTTGGGACCTTGAGATGCTGTGTCCTGGCCACGCCCTAGAGATGGATATTGACATCTACAGCCATCCCTGCTTCCAGTCCCGTGCTAGCTCCTTATCACCAAGATAGGAGGAGCCTCTGCCACTGGCCCATCTCCATCAGGACCACAACGCCACTGTGTGCTAACAACATCTCCATCGGGACCACAACACCATCGTGTACGGACATCTCCATCAGGACCACAACGCCACTGTGTACTAACAGCATCTCCATCAGGACCACAACTTCATCGTGTACTAACAACACCCCCATCATGCACTACCACTAACACCTGAAACTGTGAGCTAAAGAAATCTCTCTGCCTGGGGACTGGAGAGATGGCTCAGTAGTTAGGAACATTGACCACTCTATCAGAGGACCCTGGTTCACTTCCCAGCACCCACATGGCAGCTCACAACTGTCTAACTCCAAGATCTGACACCCTCACCCAGACATACTCACAGGCTAAAACAGCAATGCACATAAGATAAAAATAAATAAAATTTATTTAAAAAAGAAAAGAAAAGAAATCTCTCTGCCCAAACTTGCTCTGTTGAGTCTTTTGATACAGGAGTTGAAAAAGGCAACTACTACAGATTTGTTTTCCATGGCTGTTTTTTTTTTCTACTAGGATAATAGATTGCATAATAAAACACATAACAAGAGTCGCATAGGCTACCGATGATAGAGCGTTGCATACTTGCTATGTTCTCTCCTAGGCCTCATTGGGGCTTTAGCACATTTCAACAGCCAGCTTGGACCAGCTTGCAAGAGCTGATTATTAAATTTTCAAGAACTTTGCAAGCCGGTTATGAACAGCAGTTATTAAAAACTACATTATGTAAGCTCACAATTAAACAAATTACATTAAAAACAAGTGCAATAAAAGCCCACCAGTTCCTAATTACTTCGCTGCCCTTAACTGTTATCTAGGCTCAGGTAATGTCTTGTATCTGTGCTGTGGGAATGGAAAATGCCCTTTCTTCTAACTCCACCTTCAGAGACACCGCAATGCTACCTTGAAGTCAGCTGCACGGGCGTTTGCACGGTAGAAAGAGCAGATGCTACAAATCGCGTTCTGTCCCAAGAGCCAGTGATAAACACTGATGGCTAGCCCCTCACACCATCCCTACAGATGGATACCTTTGCATTTTACAGTTGAAAAAGATGAGGTTTGGAGGAGATAAATATTCCAAATCTCAAAGCGAACCCAAAAGGCAGAGCCAAGACTGCAACTCTTAACTCCTTAAACTCCTGAAAAGATACAGGCTCCAGGCATTAACGTTAACCCCTCAAGGGCTATCTCTCTAGCGAGGGAGTAGAATCTCCTAGATGTGAGACATTTCAGGAGGCTCTTCGTTCACTGGTGGGGAAGGACATGTGTGGAGTTCTCACACGACTCTCCGGTTATTACCCTGGGACCCCTCAGAAGAAGGCTAGTATTGAAAAGTGAGCCTGGTCCGACACAAGCCATCTCTCTCCAGATAGGCCTGCTTGTTACCACATGACATAGTCATGGTGTGTCATCACTTACCCGCCTCTCCAGAGGCCACACGCATGGTGCTGACACTTGGGTTTTGAACTTCTAAAGCTGTACACTAAGGAAACCTTTTCTCTTCACAATGGTATCTGTTTTGGTTCAGGGATGAAGTACCCACAATCCACCTGCACAAAGGTACCACGGAACAATCAATGCATAGACAGGGGTGTTTCTCATCCTGCGCACACCAGAGGACTCGGCACAGGAGAGTGGATGTTATTTGTCCAAAAATTACATAATTAATAAGGAGAAAGACAGAAAGTTAAAGTAAACACTTCCAGCCCCACAGCCAACACACTTACATGCATTCCCTCTTAGGAATTACAACATCCAGAACAAAGGGGCCACCATCTCCATCTCCATCATCATCATCTCCATCTCCATCATCATCTCCATCTCCATCATCATCGTCTTCATTTCTATGTCTCAGGCCACCCCCTACCGTGCTCTCTCTCTCTCTCTCTCTCTCTGTCTCTCTGTCTCTCTGTCTCTCTGTCTCTCTGTGTGTCTCTCTCTGTCTCTCTCTGTCTCTCTGTCTCTGTCTCTCTCTGTCTCTCTCTCTGTCTCTCTGTGTCTGTGTCTGTCTCTCTCTGTCTCTGTCTCTGTCTCTGTGTCGCTGTCTCTGTGTCTCTGTCTCTGTCTCTGTCTCTGTCTCTCTGTCTCTCTGTCTCTCTGTCTCTCTGTCTCTCTCTCTCTCTCTCTCTCTCTCTCTGTCTCCAGGATAGTTTAGCTCCCATTCCCCCAAGGTTTACTTTGTTTGCCTCTTTCTGCTTTGGCTTGCTGGTTTCCACCTCATAGTTCCCAAATTTATATGTCTTCAATTTAAGGGCTTGCCCGGGCTCATAGAATGGCTGTGCCCCGGAAAGAGCCGGTTTCCCAGGAGATAGCATCATCGGACTGGAGCAGCTCGGATTACTCACTCAGCTGCTCTGGCTCAATGAACGAGTCCAGCAGGGTTGCTAGGCTCGTGCCCGTGGGGCCAAGAAGAGATGCTGAGGGTGTGTGCACCACCAACGCCCTCAGTGTGCCTACAGCCTTCCTATTAGTCACCTGGCCGGTGGGACCCTGGGACGCTAGCAAGTGACGAGAACAGAATTAAACACTCCCTGGGTCTCGGAATGGACACCACATGCACTTACGCACTGAACAGAGTAACACTTAAGTGTGCTTCTTACCAACACCATCATCATCATCACCATCATCATCGTCACCTTCCTTTACTGAGAGAGATCCAAGGCACAGAGCGGTTTGGAAACTTGCCAATGAACAGCAGTCATTCCCTCGGCATTCGTGGAAGAGAGGTTCCAGCTCATCCTGAGATACCCAATCCCTGGGTACTCCGGGTCCTTGCACAAAACGGCACACTGCTTGCATATGACCTGTGCCCACCTGCTACCCTTCTCCGGATTAGCTGTCCTACTGGTTTGAATGCTGTGCAAATGGTCATCATACCATATCGTTTAGGGGACAAAGGCAAGGTGGGAAAAATCTGTACAAGTTTAGCCCACACGTATTTTTCGCCAAATATTTTTGAGCCACTGCTGATTGAGTCTTAGGATTCCGAGGCCACGGGTAATAGCTGGCAGATTGCATTTGGCAGGTGGCATGGCCTGAAGTCTGGCCTCAGCTGGTCATCCTCCATGTGGACACTCTAGAACACTCCGCTGTCTGCCTGTGGGCAAGCGTCCAGAGTGTGAGCTGCTATGGAGACCGAATCAGAGCTCTATAAACCCCATTTAAAAATGAGTGTGTTGCCCGGGCGGTGGTGGCGCACGCCTGTAATCCCAGCACTCGGGAGGCAGAGGCAGGCGGATCTCTGTGAGTTCAAGACCAGCCTGGTCTACAGTGCAAATTCCAGGACAGCCTCCAAAGCCACAGAGAAACCCTGTCTCCAAAAACCAAGAAAAAAAGAGTGTATTCTCTCTGTTTCATGATGGAATCAACACAGCTGCCGCATAGAGAGAGAAGCAGACAAGAGACACACCGTAAGTAGGTCAGCCTGCTGTTCCTGCCGTCACCAACATTCCTCCCAGAGGAGTCACCAGTGGCCTGACACGGTCTCCCGGGGACAATGGTGGTGACCCTAGCCTGTCATCTAGAACAGGCAATAATCTTTTGTTCTGACGGGTCTTGTTTGTGAACACACCCACAAGGACGCACACACACATGTACGTAATTAAAGTAAAACTTCTTGCTGCTGGCCTTGGTGGGGAGGCTGAGGCAGGAGGACTGTAAGCTCAGGGCCAGCCTGGGCTACTTAGTGACACCCATCTCACAAAAGCAACAAAACAAACAAGCAAAACCCCGTCGCCTTCAAAGTCAAATCCAAGCATTTTGACGCACGTTGTCCTTTCAACTTGGGAATACCAATTCCCTGTGGGCTGTTCTTTTCCCTCACCCTCAGCCCCCTCTCGATGGGCAAGCCCTGTTCATTCTGTAGGGTTCATCCCAGCTGTCATCCTGAAATGACATACTGACTGTTCAGCTCCCTCCCTGCGTCGCAATTCCCTCCATCCTCTCTTCACCTTCCCCTGGGATTCTACCCTGCCCCCACATATTTGCCTGACTCTGCCATCTGGGACAGAGCCTGGCACTGAGATCCTCATTGGAAGTTCACGGAA